ATAAACAGTGTCTAGTTTTGACTGAAGTTAATGTGGAGCTTGGTTGAAAATATGTGTGTGTCAGTCATGAAGCCGTCTTTGTACTAAACTGAAGAACCAGACATCTTTTATTTTCCATTTTAGTTTGTCAGGTTTATACATGATTGTGATTTGGAGTCCAACACTTTTTTCCAGTGCTGTGGGAATATCTAACTTGAAATTGTAACTAAACACTAAACACATGCTCTCAAGCAAATGGAGCGAGTCCATTGAGGTGATGTTCAAATCCGTTTTTGCAGTTGGTTTAAAGGGGTTGTACGTCAATAACTCTTAATTATTAGTGTGTGTGTGTTTTGGGGGTAATGTGCCTTAAATCAACCAAAGTACCATCTTCAATTCGTTGTAAAAACCAGGTTTCCCTGCAGATCGGCAGATTTCTGGTAGATATACCAGTTAGTAAGAGAGAAAGCTTCTCTAAAGAGGAAATGGTTTCACTTAGCACACGAGCAGACCATCTTTATATTTATCATGGTCTATGTATTTGCATTTTATTATCGTGATGATACACCTTTAAAATAATAGTGAAATAATGCACCACAGACTTCAGACCAGGTTTTTTGTTATTCAAATGTGCTTTCTGCTACTTCAAATAGCGATGAGCCTACAAGGCGTCTCACCTCATTTTATGCACCTGCATTTGCAATTTAAACAACGTCAGAGCTAGATGGAAAAATGACATCTTTGTTGGTCTAAAGCAAGCAAGGACTGCACTGGGAGTGTGACAGGGCTGCAATGGAAAAGATTTTTATTATGTTTGTTTGTATGTTTTCACTTGTCAGATTGAACACATTATCACGAAACATGGTGGAAGAAAGCGATATGGGGCAGGATGGATACAATTTTGGTTCGGATCCAGGAATTAGTTATTTCATTTTCTGTGACATTGTGTGAGGGGAGGTTTTTTTTTACGGTTTCCCCATTTTCCCAGGGAAGTCTTGATGAAAAAATCAAGCCCATTTAGCAAACTGATATCCATGAGTGTGTGAAATTTGGGACAGCTTGATTAAATTTGAGGAACTGTTGGTTCTTGGCGGAGGTATACGCTTTACTGAGTCAAATTTAAAAGTGAACAAAAAATTCACATATTTTCTTTGGTGCTGAACCACTTTTTTGTAATTATAATCTATCAACGTGATAAATTATAACTGAAATAACATTGTGCTTGACAGAAAACCTTTTGTTTCAAATGTGTTGCAATCGAGAGTAAATGGATCTTTTTTTCAACCCAGTCGTTTCAGAGTGTACCGAGCGTTCACTGCAGGTTTACAGTGCAGATGCCAGATCTTCTGTTTGAAAAATATGTCCACATTTACACGACACAGAGTGCAACACAGCAAAGTGAAGCAAATTGGAACTGTTGGCCTCTGCTGAATCACATTACGAGTGACCATATATCACTTTTTATAGGTCACAGGTGAAGCACATCTGTTTCCACTTGGCTAAGTTTCCATACAAAACATTTGAATAGAGATTCTTCACCTATATCTGTTGCTCTCCTGTATTTGTTAAAAACCAACATGTCGCTCATACATCAAACCTGAGAAAGAGCCAAAAGGTTGCTCAGTAAGAAAGCAAGTATCTGAGAGGTTTTGATTATAGGACACAGTTTAAGGAGTAGTACAATTCTCTAACGTTTACTTCACGTCACACTTTGCTTTAAATGATTTGTTTATGTGGTGTGGTCTTTTACCAGGCATCTTATTTGACAGTTGTGCAAGCCAGAGCCCAACATACCCACATTGGACCTTGCTTTTTTCAAAGTTGATCTCAAAGCCCCTCATGTGTTTGACTTGTCTTTAATTGCTTCCTGTCTGCTGGGTCAATTATAAGTCCTGGACTCTTTTTAGGGGGGAATGACTTGGGCAGCAGTTTTTTTCTGAACAGACAGAATGATTAAATAACTGAAATTTGAGCAGAATGATGAGATCATTCATTGGGACTTGATTTGATAATATTTTACTTGGTGTGCCAGCTCTCAGCACATATGTTGATTAACATTTAGACAGGAATTGATTTTTGAGGCTTTCTTGGGTGTGTTTAATGGGGGAAAAGGCACAGAGACAAAGAAAAGTGTAATGATTTTAAAAAGGCTAAAGATATTCTTTCTCTTTTATCCCCTATTGATTCTGGGTCAGATGCACGCTGGTGTAAATACCCTATTACTATTGTATTTAACATGTTATATGAGCCGTAAGAAATGGATCAACAGTCGGCAAGTGAATTAAAAACACATAAACAGCTTTTCATTAACATGTGACAATCCTTTCATTTTGAATAAACGCCAGCAGTGAAGTAAAAGCAAAATATCTCTGTGCCAGCCTGGACTGTCTAGTTATGATCGATCATGATACAATGATTAAAAATGAGTTTGACTTTTGCAAAATATAGAGAAAGTCGGAAAAAACAATGAAAATTAAAATTGTACAAGCAAGTCTAAAGGGGCCTTAACTTCAGGGACCCTGGCAAGTACACCAAACCTTATAGTCCAGTATGTTTGAGCAGAGCGAGTCAATTGCCCCCTGGTGGTTGGTTACAGTATAAGTCCTCCTCAATGTTAGCAAATGGGACATGGACCAAATTAAAAAGTCAAAGTTCCTGGCAAATAACGTTTCCTCAGAAATTGTGTCTGTCATTTTAGGTACTTCCTATCATACTGGAGTGGGGTTAAGTGCTAGCTCTTATTTGATGCTGCAAAAAATGGGGTGAAACTTCGTAATTGACACCTGAGACTTCGCGATGTCAATCAATACCATGGATCCAACCAACAATCACAACTACAAAAGCTCTGACTCCAAATGAGTGTTCTGAGACATTCTGGCTACATCTATTCACAGTGGGCAGAAGTGATGACTTGTTGTCTGTCCTTATATACGGTGTACGGTGTGAGCGCTTCATCACAATAATACCTGACATCATAATTATCCATTCAAACATGGCTGCAAAAGGATCTCTTAGGTTTCATGAGAAAATGAATTACTTTGTTTGAAATTTAAGCAAATGAAAACATAAAGAAACAACTGGACATTTAATTGTTTATATAGTTTATATATTTTTATTTCCATGTGCGGAAGTAAAGTCAAGGCAGCAAAGACATAGTTGATGACCCTAGTAAAGGCATCTTTTTCTTTTTTGTGTTTATTGGCAGATCACAATCCAACTAAATGCATGCTGCCACCTGTCATATCTAGTGTGTAGATATGCAAGTGTACTCGGGTATGGAACAACATAACTAATGTGAAAGTGGTGGACGAGTCTGTGTGTAATTGTACACAGGCACAGTACTAAGTATTTGTACCTAATATGAAACTGCCCTCACTCCAGAGCTTTTAAAAAGTATTATCCATCACATCATTGGCCACAGACTGAAGTTAAACAACTTCCTGATGAGCTCTGAGTATTAAAACTTCACATTCTTTTGCACTAAAACTTCAGTTTTTATTTTATTGTATTTAAATAAGCCAATAAAAGCCCTGTTGCGTCTTCAAATCAGCTCTGTGCCAACTTCATCCAGTGCAGAAACAGGGCAGCTCCTCGAGGTGCTGCAGAAGTGAGGTCAAAACTCCACGCCGCATGGTTACCCGTGGCTACATAAATATTAACCAAGTCTCCACTGTGTAGAGAGGCCTTCTCTGATTATGAGTCTACTCCGAGAGGTTGATATCCTAGGAGACCACTAAAGCCAGCTTGACAAAATTGATGAGAGAATACAGAGAAAGTCGGTGCAGTCGTGATGTGCAGGAGTTTCCTTCGCTTTAGAACAGATCAAGCTGCAGGATTTCATGCAGACGAAGCGGGGAAAGAAGCACCAACGGCTCGCACTCCTCATGCTTCACTTTGAACTTCTGCTGTAAAATGGCAGGGAGAGATGTGACAGGAAGAACACGAGGAACACAACTCCTTTCAGTGTCCTAAAACGGATTCTTTTATCTGCACAGTGCACCAGACAATACAGCCAACACACCACAGCTTTAAACAATGTCTCATTACTGGAGCAGTTACGCAGACGAGTACATGACACAAGCCAAACTCCGCTGAGTGTGTCCACAGGTCAAGCTCAGAGAAGTTGAATGAAATAAGAAAATAAAATAGAGTCACTTCAGGAACAAACGATTGAGTGATGGAGGTTTAAGCTTTGTTAATTGTGCTCTGAAGCGTATTATAGCCACGGCCAAATCTTTGTCCTTCATCGGTGAGAGGACGCTGATTTGTCGGGGGTCGGCTGCGGTCCTGTGACTGGTCATGTGTGCCTGAGATGTCAATCATGTGCAAATATTTTGGGAAGGAACCAATAAGCATTGTGAGGTGAACAATTGAAGGTTAAGAGGCAGGCTTAGAGCCACATGCGGAACGAGGAGACATTTGTTCTCAGGTCCGTCTGATGCATCTGCTGATATCACACCATAGCTATATATTTACTAACCTGCAAACATACATGTTCCCTTTTACTGGAATGCATAAAATCTGTGATTCTTTTCTGTTCTTGTTTTCCTCCTTCTTTGTGAGTTTGGGCTGAATCAAAGATAGAAGAGAAACCATTTATCATGCAACATTTGGTGAGTGATTATGTGCAATATTGTGACGCCTTTGCGAGATATGATCATATCAGAGTCCATCATAAACACTTGCACATAAACAATTAATTCATTAGCAAAACTGTAAATAAATGAATAAACTGAAATGTGATTGTGTCATATTTGTCCTTGCCTACTTCATCTGCTTGTGAGTTATGTTCATTCAGAAGAATAGCAACACAAGTCTAATGCCCTCTGTTGACAATCTAAGGAAGCAGATTCAAATGAATTCATGCAAAATGGCAGTTTAAGCTGCTCAATGCTGAAGCCGTGCAGACACCACATGTGTTTTTGCTCTGGGCTTATAAATAAACATTTCTCCAGATATGGATATCTGCCACTGGGTGACCTTTTATTACATCTGTTTTCTCTTTTTTTTTTTGTCCCTAGCAAGAAAAAATGGCAGTATTATTATGTAAAATTATGCTTATGAAAACACAGGTCTGCCTCTCTCCCGTGCTCACCTTCACCTGGCAAGCATGACTCAACTTCACATTTCCCCACAGAGGGTGAAAGGCAGTTTTATTGAAGCCAGGTGTGTACCCACGTCCTGTCTGATAATGTTTCTGGACAGAATTCCTCAAGCAGATCATAACATGGTCCAAGTCTTCAGCAGATGTAGAAATCAACATGAAACAATTGTGACCTGTGTTTTGTTTATTTTCAGCCTATTTAAATTGAAAGATAGAGGCTCTGAGGGAAATATGAAAATATGAACCAGCTGCACTGAAAATAAGATTTTCTTAGATGGAGAAATGAGGTTGACTCTTTATGAGGTTCTAATGAAAATTAGATTTCTAGGTCATCGAAATCTAAATGAGCTGTGATCACCTTGCATTTTTACGGCAAAATACAAATCACTGATCACCACGGCGGCTTACAGTATGTGGAGCGCCAGGGTCGAAGCCGCAGCCGCCCGACAAAACTCCCTCTCCTGCCAAATGGTGTCATGAATCATGTAACAGAAAAGTGCAGCAAGGAAAAAAACCACACACTCACAATTGAGGAGAGGTTCTTGGTTTGGAAAAAGTGCTTTGGCTCTGTACGCACCAGCAGCAGCAGAAGCTTGACCACTCGCTGCTGCTGCTGCTCAGGCCAGCGTGTTATCCTGCAGGGGCCGGTCGGAGGGAGGGTGGAGTGGTGGGGGTCTCTGCCTGTACTTCCATGTTCCTTTTGATGCTTGGTAGTATTACTGTAAAATGAGTCCTCTTTCATTGGTTGAATAGGCCGGACTGCCTACTGTGACAGTGCGTGAGGCCTCTCATGCCCCAAAAGGGAAGGCAGCAATGCATCTCTAAACAGAAAAGCCAAAATAAGGCGGGCGACTTCATAACCTTGAGAAGAGGAAGAGAAAGAAAAGAGGAAGACGATGAGCTGAGTTCTGCGTGCACATGATATTAAGTTGATGTGATTAGTGTCTTCTTGCACAGACTCCGAGTCAGTGGGGATCTGTAGTCCACGCCTGGTTTTGGCTGCGGCCCGCTGCTCAGACGGCTCCTGCACACAGCGGCAGCGGCTCCGCTCCTCCACTGCGCTGGCGCTGTTTACTGGAAGCTGCCCGCTCCTCCACCAACAGCCTGAGCACCGCGAGCGGGGTCTTCTCCACAGGCGAGCCGCCGCTGAGCTCCAAACTTCACCCAGTCTCACCCAGTCACAGGAGCCAGGAGGAGAGCAGCGTTCGGCGGCTAGAAAAGTAGCGAGGGGGTCAGTCCTCTACCCCCGGCACCAGACACTAAAACAGCCACTCTTTTAACCCTCTTTCAGTCACTCTTGTTGTTTTTTTCCCTTTTGTATTTATCCTCCTGGGTCTTCCCCTCTTGTTTGTTGCTTCTTCTTCGGGAGTGAGAGCGCACACAGGCGGGAGAGCCAGGGCGCACGAGCCGCTCTCAGGGCGCATGAGGTGTTGGGACTGAGCGCACAGCAGAGCAGAACCTGGCCGGCCATGGAGGCGTGTGTCCCGGGCAGGGGAATGTGAGGCTCCGGGGCTGAGTTTGTTCTGTTTTGGGGGGACCTGCCTGCCTGATAGCCCGAGCCTGTGTCCCAGATCGAGGGGAGCATGCCTCAGACCTGCAGACTCTCCGCTGCAGAGGAGTTCCCATCAGACAGTCTTTCCACAATCTGACATTTAATTTTTTTCCACATTTCCTCTACATGCACTGACTTACATTTTTTTAAATCCTTCTTTGGCTTCACTGAATTAAAGGTAAGAAGCAGTTTTTAAATTACTTTATAAGTCAGATCTAGGCAGCAGAGTGTATTTAACTGGTTGATGTGGGGTGTTGTAACTTTTCTTTCATTGCTTGGTCACTTAGGAGTCATGCATTTGCTTTTTGCACTTATTCAAACAAATACAACCAAGACTTAAAGCTGCTTACGTTTTTTGGTTTGTTGTATTTTTGCTTTTTAAAATATAAAAAGTCGGATTTTATTGCAAGAAACATGATTGAAATTAAAATAGAAGTCTTTAAAACAGAAGATCCCATTTCACTAGTCCAAGGCACTAATTGAAAAATGGTTAATGAAAACATAACCAGATGTGGATTGATTTGTTCGGCTGAATGGAAACTATTTAAAAAAAAGAGTGTGGTGGAAGAGGGGCAGTGATTTTATATGTGAACCAGAACATGTAAAGCGCCATTTAAGGTGGAATTTCTGCCTTTAAAAAAAAGTTGAGTGGGAGTTTAATTGTGGTGAGTGTATTTTAAATCCACTGATAGGTCCCTGTTGTTGGGTCTGAATGGGGAGGGGGATTTATGCTGGAAGCTGTGACCTGAGAAACCATGTCGTTGTAACTTGTAGAGAACATTCACAGGCTAATCCATTATAATTGGGGCAGGGGCTATTTGTCCAAAAGAAAAGAGAGAGAAAAAAATCAGTCAAGCCTGCCTACCCAGTGTTATAATAATTAGTTTTGGAGCCAGAGATAGCCCATGATGCAATGGTTCTACAATCGCAGGAAATGTCATGGAAATCAATCAAAGAAAAACAGAAAATACAAGCAGAGGTTTAGATTTAACTCCAACGCATGTGGGTGCAGAGTGGCAGTAAAATTAGATCCTTTTACTGCACATGTTTTATTTAGGGCCGCAGATTGCGTCTTGTCAAGCATGTGTTAAAAAGAGTAGGGGAGCAGCAGCAGCAGAAGAAGCGCACATGCCTTCTCCTTGGCCCCGACAAACACGCGGTCGGAGCCGGTGATGTTTGGCAGCCAGGAGCAGAGCTGCAGCCTCCAGTGATCGATCAGTGCAACGGGATAAATTTAGCTCCAGTCTTTTGGTGCCCTCCATGTTTTTGTTGATGTATTTTGGGGGTTTGTGCCTTTGATCTTTAAAGAGAAAGGCAGACTGGGAGAGATCCACGAATTCCTGCCTGGATTAGAGTCCCATCAATGTGTCTCATTCCTATGTTTGGTCTGTAGAACACATCCACCACCTTATCTGCCCAGCGGTGAGACACAGTTACTGTAAAATATCAACATTTGTCAAGCTGTGTTTTTTTTTTTGAAGTAAATGTGTATTTAAATGATCACATGCATCAATCCTGGGTAAATAGGCATCGCTGCACAACCTTTTCTGTGACACAATTCTTGAGATTATGCAAAACAAAAGAACAAACCAAGTGTTTCTGAGGATGAAGTGGCTTCATCTCCCTCCCTGCACATAACAAAGTGACATTCAGTGAAACACAAAGGCAACTTTTTTAGGAATCTTTATGAAATAAGCTACATGCTTTTATCAGGCTTCAGGAGCTGTACGCTGTTCCTTCAAGCCTCGCTACTGGATAAGTCCAGTTTCACATGTTTTTGCATTGGGAAAAAAATGTATAAATTAGCACAAGTGCAAATTCCAAGTGTTTGCAAGGAATACATTAGCATATCAAAGTGGTCAGAGCCTCCAACACAATGGAAGGAGTCGTATTTTCTTGCCACAGGTTTTTTGGCTGAGACTGAAAAGGCTCGAGAACGAGTGTGTGAGCTGGTAAAACTGAAAAACGTGTGTGTGTATATTTCCCCCATTCTTGTAAGCAGGTCTGTGTGACATCTCATGTATAGCATCATCTCGATTTGGATTTATTTGTATGCCGGTGTTGGAGAATATGTCTGAGCGTTCTCCCAACAGGGTGAATGTAATCGCAAAAGAGTGAATAGTGGAGACAAAAAGAAACATTTGGGAGTTTGAAGTAGAAAATCAGATGTAATTATGAAATATAACATTGTTTGTCGTAATCATTTCAACCATAAGCCAAATTTTAGAAATTGTTATTCCATTTGTTGGCTTCTAAAAAAAAAACAGGTGTATCTACACTTGGTAGTAGACATAACACAAACTCCTCCTGAATGCGGATTTAAGGAACTGTCTTCTCAGATGTCTGGCTGCTTGATATCTTTAGCTCGAGCACACCATTATGAGCGTTTTACCGTTGATCCCAGATGGAGAGAGTACCTTTTCCCAGTCTATATAGCCTTGTTTCCTTGAAAGTGCGTCCGGTTTCAAAGAACTGCAGCTGCTCTTGATCTGCTACAGAGCACCAGATTGCCTCTCTTGGCCTGTGCGTTCAATCTCGAGGCGCTGATCAATACAGCCCGGCACACTCTCTGTGGGTTTGGAGGAGAAAAAAGTGCTACATATCGCGCTATTCTCAACTCTTTATGTCACTTCTTTTTTTTCTTGCAGCATACGAGACTCTAAAGAAGCCAGGGAGTGTGAATGAGGGAGTGAGTGTGAACGCACCGAAATTTGTGGACATGATGGACTGTTGCTGTTGCTTTTTTTTCCGCTGGGCTATTTTTTTTCTCCCTCCAGCAGCTGAGGTTTTGTACTATTACGTATCTTTGACGTGTGCATCACACGGATCACAACGCAGCTTTCGTAGTCTCTCCAGATTTTTAAATTTCAAGTAGCGGGTTCTTCTACTCCACCTTTATCAGTGAATTTGTTATTAATTAAATTCAACAATTAAGCTTACACACGCTCACCAGTAGTTACATTCCCTCATGCTGCTTTTGTTGCGCAGTCTCACAAGCGTCTTTGTTTGAGTAGCGATTGGTGAGTTCCTATGCCTGATTTAAAGGTTGCATTGTGGTTGAATGGATTGTTTGTACCAGTGTCGCATCAAGGGGATGTTGGGCTTTCATTCACGGTGAAAACCAAATTCAGGCTTGTGTTTTGTTTTTCTTTCCCTTCACTAGCATCACACTCTTTGTTAGCTAACAATGTAAAAGGAGCGAGGGCCAATTTCAAGTTGCAGTTGGTACAAATGAAGTGTTTGCTGCTCCATTGCAAAATCAGACAAGCGGTGGAGGCTGTGAATGTGTCCGAAGTAGAGGATTTCAGGGAGTTAAAGCTTTTAGATTTACATCCCGTTGCTTATGTGGCTCGTAAATTGTGGCTTTGTGTTTTCCGATGCAATCTTTTCTGTTTTTAAACCACCTACATGGAGCCATACTGTGCGGATAACTGTTAGCCATTAAAGGGAATAAACAAGGCTGTAAAAGAAAGCTATGGCAAATTTGATGTAATGTGCAGGCCTTTGGTGGGCCAAAATATCTCCCCTTTCATGACTGATTTTATTTTACGATTGGCAATCAGTAAAACGCTATGCGCCCGTGTGTCCCCCTCCCCTCCCTGCCATTTTGTGAAACATTTGTTTCCACTTGCCAAAGGCCTCTGGTGCAGCGGGGGATTCGGTACCCCTGTAATGGCAGGTGAAACTTTCTGCTTGCCTGAATAATTTCCGAGCAGAACGTTACACAGCAAGGACATGGGCGGTGGAAAGTTAGGGTCAATTCAAACTCTGCTGACAAGAAACAACATGGATATTAGCCGATGGCTCTTGTGTAGTTCTGGTTAAGTGGCAGCCTCCCTGAGCTTATCTGGCATCTCTCTTTTCACGATTGCCTCACTCTTTTTGTGCTTCTCTGAAAGGTGTTCAGGAGAAAAGGAAGTGCAAAGTGCAAAACTGTGTTGTGAAAACGTCGCCACCCTGGTCATAAACCAATGTGTGCAACCTATTGGCCTGGTTTCTGATTGTAGCTCACATATTTTACAGCTTGCTGAAAACACAATGTGGACTTCGGATAAGATATGCTGTGTGCTATTAGTGCTATTAGTGCTGTGTGTTTAGGTTACTCCCAAGACCAATGAGGGAAATGTCTTTCACAAAAGTGTAATGCAAAAAAATAACTGAACAGGTTTTTTTTTTTTTTTACAAATTATTGTTTCACGGATAAAAATGAAAGCCGTTGTATGAGCGATAATTACTTTCTATCACTTCGATAATTTAGGGATAATAGAAAATTACAAACAAACATGCTTTGAAAAAAAAGTGCTTGTTTTCATAATTACATTTTAAAATCTTGCTCTCATTTATTTTCTGTTTATAATTTTTTTTATTTTAAGACCTACACACACACACGCACACATATGCAGCCTGCCTGTCTCAGTCTTTGTGCTATGTGAACAGGACTCATCCTTATCTGTGCACAGCTGCAACACTATTTGGGAAAATATTCAATTTCTGTGTGACAGAGGAGAACCTGGGAGGCAAGGCTCTGAGCAAACAGAAGTTATTGCGGCTCTGCCATAGCAGCCGAGAGCAAGGTCTGGCTGGGAGAGAGAGGGGGGATCTGCGGACGTCTGCCAGGGGAAGGAGTAATGTCTCGGCTGGATTATAGGAGAGCGGAGCACATCCACACTTAAAAGCCCCCTTCTCTAGCAAGACAGGGCTGTTATTTAGGAACAGTGCATGTGTAAACACTGCAGAGCAATATACATCTTCCATATAGGCGGTTGTTGTCCTTGACGACAGTGACTCATTGCACGTGAGAAAAGTTCGACTCCCCATCCCACTTTTTTTGTTTAAAAATGTTTTATTTAATGTTGGGCTGTGGGCATTCTTCAGATTAGCATTATCTCATTGAGGCGCAAAACTGGAGAGCAGTGTTGAACATCAGAATATTATTTTACTTTCATTCGAACGGAAGTGTTTTTTTATTTATTTTTGCAGTTTTTATGTTTTTATTCATCTTTTTGGAACTTCACTTTTGATGTAGCTCTCTCTGTCTATTTTTTTGCACAGCAGTTGTGGTGAGTTGCTATTTTGCAAGTAAAAATCTGTGATACTGTCCCAGAATACAGAATGTGAAATTCAAAGTAATCTGAGATAGATGGCATCAGTTGGAAGAAGCAACACTTGACTACAGAT